TGTCCAGTCTTTCTTATCTTATCTTATCTCGTTCACTTGAACTTTTACAGCTGAGGTAATGGTTCGGTAAAAACCATCGAAACTAGTACTGTGAAAATCTGAAAATACAAAGCTGATTTTTGTTGTTTGACTTCTAAATTAATTCTCTACCTTGTTCAAAAAGTATTGTGACAGAAAGAGTTTGTCTTGGAAAAAAAATTAAGGAGGTAAAGAGTTAGCTTAAAATATCGAACATTCTCCGTAGTAAGCTCTAAAAAGCTTCTCACCAGTCCAGCTCTTATATATCCCCTCTGTGTTTGCTATAAAATTAATTTCATTTCTAAAACTAGTAATAGGACTTGAGTCATTATAACTCGGAAAATAATTAATCAGTTTCAGGATAATTTTTCACATCCCCTTACGCGAGGAAATGATATATTGGCGTAAGAGTATTTTTATTTCACGCTCAACAATTTTTAGTATCTTAGAAAAGGTGTAGAGTTTGGTTTGGTTTATTTAATTATGACAAAGCACTCAGGGGCTATCTGCCTAAGGGGATGCCTTCGTGGAGGACTTTCTAAGGAAAGGCTTGGAGAAAAAATGCGTGTGCCGTGAAAGCAAACATTTGATCAGTGTTGCAATACTATTTATACTTGGGATATAAATTGATAAAAGTATCCGGTTTATAAAGACAACCAGATGGCTTCACTTATAAAGCTTGTTACCGCTCGGAGTTGTAAAAAAAGTTTCAATTAAAATTATTTTTTTAAATTCTTCTGGCATGTTTATTCGAAAACATAATTCAAATTATTAATACACAAAAAAATGAACTCGGTTTTTGTAAGCACTGAAAAGTATCAAAATATCAAGTTTAATTTAATTTTTCTTTGTTCTGAAGCTGTGGATGGCAAAGATTTGTAAAACAATTAAAAATGGGACAGTAAATTAAAAGACATTTTTCTTGTTTCTTTTGGAAGGGGACAGGTAAGATGCTACTTTTATATATTTAAAATTTGGGTTTTAGCATTATTTTAATACTATCAATAGGATGCTATTATGATGATTTAATTTTATGATTTATTTTTTGATAGTTTGAAGATATTATGGCATGAATGAGCTTTAAGGCCTGAGTTATCTACTTTAATAATTATTTATTGTTACTTAATTATTATTTCCAGCATTAGTAGTGACATTAGTGTCTCGGTTAATATGATTCAAAAAGGCGAAGCGAAAAAATGACGAAGTTAAAAAAAGGTCGAAGAGAAAAAAACGTGTGTGGGGCTTGGATGTACTTCAGCTGATCAATATTTACATTTACAAGTACTGTTTTCAAAAATGAGAGCAATCAAAAGCAATTTGAGAGAGACGATTGAGCAGTCAAAAAAAATTTACCGTCTGTCCGTACTCCCGAAGAGTTAACATCAACACTGAACAATCAAAAACATTTAGTACGTGCATTTAACAAGCTAACATAAATATTAGCACATCAAAAAAATTATTCGGAACAGATCACAGATCATTAGGGATTGAAAACTATGGTTGAACACTGAAAATAGGTTTAAAAACTTCAGAACATAGATGCATTGGTTGGTCATTTAATTTAAAGCATTATTCAGATTCGTTAGGAAATCGGGGGGGGGGCTTACTAGAAAAATATAATAAGCCAATTTTTTATAACAATTTTCAAAATAATTTAAGTGAAATAAAATAAGTATTTATATTCAAATATGCATAATTTTAGTTAATAAAGAAATAAATAGATTCTTCCGATAGAATCCAAATAAAATCGCAGAAGAAAGTGAAATGTGATAAAGTTGATATAAATTTAGTAATTCATAGAAAAAGATCAAGTCTTTCAATGCGAATACGAAATTGGATTCTTCTGATGCCTGTAAAATGCTTCCTTTTGTTTGTAACCAAGTTCATTTTGTGATATTTAATATAATTAATATGGAATAAATGCTCTTCGTAACGTTTTACAAATGTTTGCGTAGGCTTAAGAATTAAACAAAATACTGAAGCCTTCCAATATTTTGAAATCAATACACTTTTCTACCTGAAGGTGCATTTTCTCTTTCCAGATGCTTTCCCCTTGGGATGCTAATACACTGGTTTAGTATCATACTACGACAGTCTCAGCTCTAGGGGGCACATCATACACGAACCCGGTTCCTACTGCCAGAAAGGGCAGCCTATGCTTTCTAGGACGGTAGTGGCCTCGACCATCGGCCAGAACACGAATTCAATAGTTTTCTCTCCCTTCGTACTCTAACTGCACCGGGGAATGGTGACCCTGGGATACGGATTCAGCTTTGGGGCTTAAGAAAGAATTCTTTTAAAATTTCGCACTCCTGAAATGAAGCCCCCAGATTTGTAGCAAGCTGAGTCTATTTTTCCTCCTCTTCGAGGAGCTTGTTAATAACACCCAGCCCTTCTACCTAAATACGGAAGCAGTTCTAGCGTTATAGTTGTATTATGGCTGTGATTAACAAAAATTTGACTGATTCCAGACGCTTTTAAACTTTACGTTAGTGATAGTAGAATGGTATTTAAAATTGTGGCTTCAGCTGCTGCAGACATGGTTTTACGCCTTTAATGGAAAAAAAGCTCATATTTATTTTAACCCAAATTTATAAGCAGTTTTAGAGCAGGATTATGTATTCTTAGTATCGCAATTGAGGCAAACACTTCTCTTAGTATTCTTTGCCATAACAGCTTTAACATAAACATGAGATTATTCCGATGAAAATAAGGTTGTGCCGTGTGAATAATAAATGAATTGAGAAAGTCAAACTACAACCTAGCATGGGCACACATTAAATTTATTAATTATTGCAGTTTCCTTAGAACTGAACTCATCTCTTCAAGCAATACTTTTGCTGATAACCCCTGCAAACTGCTTATACTGCTTCGCAGAAGTTAGAATGGTTAGTCGAAAGAACAAAAGATAAGGCTCGAAGCAGGTTTTATATGCTTCCGACAAGAATGGAGAAGAAACTCCATAATTTATTACGCTGTTATGGAAAAGAATTCAACAGCGTATAAAAAGTTCAATTTAAGAAGCGAAATGGTGTTAAAATTGGGTGATGTTGCGAGATACGGCTAAAGCCACTCGCATCAATAACAGTTGGTTTTGACGTCATTGGTGTAGCCTTCAAATCACGACTCCGAAGTTCACGAGTTTTTTTTTTTTTTTTTTCTGTCAAACAGCATTAGTTAAAAGGAAGCATATCCATCCTGTATTTTCAAACATAAGCAATTAAAATATCTAACTGCAGAGACCAAGGCATAACTGGTTCACAATACCAATTATAGATGGCGCCATAAGACAGGCAAGACCCAAAACTAAAGAGTAAATAAATAAATAAAATGACTATTAAACTCATTAATAATTTTAAAATAAATAGTTAATTATTATCAAATTAATTAATAGTTATTCAATTAATGTTATAAATTGTTATTTAATCGATAATTATTATATAATTAATTAATTATAATTTAACTGCTGATTATTAGATAATTGGTTATTATTATTGAAATAATTAAAATTAAATAAAATGTAAGAGATAAATTGAAATTTAATAAGCGATTTTTAATATAATTTTATTGTTAAAATAAAATTTTCGAGATAAAATTTCTTCTGAAATTGTTATTCAGTTACATAAAAGATGTGCCGCAAGCCTTCTTATTCAGGGTTCCGGTGCGTTCCGACTAGAATTATGATTTATTACAAAAACTAAGAAGCACCGGAGCCTAGATCCGGTGGGCTCCAGCCCAATTTAAGCTCTGATCGTAAGGGGGGGAGTTCTTTTATCATCACAAAAATTAAATATACTTAAACTATAGATGATGAAAATTCCAGGGCGAAACAGAATGAGGGTATGAATAGGTAGGAACAAAAAAATGAGGGGAATTTTGGTGAGAAAGAACGCTCTCTTTGACCGCGGCTCTCTGTTGATATAATTATAGCTATCAAGCAGATGGGTGTCAGGGGTAAATGAGCCCTGAATCGGACTCCCAAGGATGAATGTAAAGGATGACTGTAAAATTGCTGGTTACGCTTCTCCCCCCCCATTAGTGGATATTATCCGAAGACGATGTATAGGACGTGCTTGAGCAGTTTATCTGAGTAAACACTCTTATTGTACTCGCTGTCACTTAACGCACATTTAAGAACACAAATTTTCCTTCCTGCGAGGGTAACTAACTGCAAGCATCGATAACAATACACTCCATACGATAGCACTGGCGAGAAATTTACGCGTTATTAAACAAACTCTCCCAAATTTATTGCCCTTCTTAAAGGGAAAGGTTTCTGCATGTGAGTGAGGGGACTTTATTTGAACGTCTCATGTTCTCATGAGTTCGTATTTCTAGGGAAATAGAGTATTGCAAAGTCTGCTTATTGTTAAACTAAAACGTTAGGAATTCTAAATTTTTTCCCTTTAAATTGTGGTTCAGTTTTATTAAGTACCGGAGCTCCTCTTATTTAGGGCTCCGGTGCGCTCCTGCTAGAATTGTAATTTATCTTAAAAATTGAGAAGTACGGTGGGCTCCGGCGCAATTTAAGCACTGGATACAACACGAAGCAACATCCGCCAAGCAATTATTTTAGTTTCTCAAAATTAAATCTGATGTTTAGTTTGTTTTTAGAACTTTTTAGAACTTAGAAATACTGAATATGTCAATTTATTTATAGTTTAAAAAAAAGCGAATTTCGTCTAAACACCTAGAACCAAATTCACAAAGAATTTTATATGTGCATCATGAATGAAGTTCCAGTATTGCGTCCCTTGAGCAATGAACGAAAATTTTCTAGCTTAAAAAGCGAAAATGTCGTTAAACCTTAACTAGTTAGAGTTAACATAGAAATTTCCGTCCAACATAAAGGATATTTATAAGTTAGATTTGTGACAGGATCATGAAGGTAAGAATCAGAAAAATATAAGCATTCACCTCTGCAGTGAATTATACGAATAAATTAAAAATTATTACATAAAGAGAAAATTAATTCAGCTTACCATAATAAACGAGCCATTCGCTCACTGTCACAGACATAAGAGTCATTTTAGTTATGAGTGAGAGAACTCCTATAAGGCCAATGGCTGCTTCATGTACTAGCAACTTCTGGTTTAAATAGGGTACCACCAGTAATGTCGCTGCTGCTTTCAAAAGAATCATAATGGTTGTCAGATTGGAATACTGTGTCACAGTCCATTTAAATACTTTTCTGGTGTGAGAAAAACCTATAGCTAATGAGCCTAAGGGAAGAATGCAGATTACATATAAGTCGCTACAAATTATAAAACGAAGTAAAGTATTTAAATTATTATATAAATCATTTATCATGAACAGAAATCCCATATTATATTATTTTGATTATTAATGATTTAATTATTGCAGCTTTGTACAAAGTATTCATTAATTTTGCCCAAAATTCCTCGAAACAAAACTAAAAATTGTATCTTAACAAATACAGTATTTCCTCGCGTATTTTCTCCCTAGGGGAATATTTCGCTACCTCTCGTAGTCAGTTTGTATTTGCATTTTTGTATTAGCATTTCATCCATTTTACTTTTCCTTGCATTTATTATTTGACACGTATTTTGAGTAGATTCGTCATAAGCTACTTGAACGTGGAAAATGTTTTCACTCTTAAGAAACTTTCCAAACATGTCATTTTAATTTTCTTCTGTTATTTGCTTTTCGAATCAATGTAGCCTTATCTGTTGCTGATGTACTCGATCTTTCGAAATTCGGGTTTTTTTGTTTGACCTTCTCCTTCGCTCCTCTGATGTCCCTCTTGGGAACACGCGGTCAAGACTCATTTGTGCGAGGTACTGCTGAGGCTTCACCATGTAACTAAGCAGCTCGATTATCGTTAGATATCGACTCACTATCCATCAGATATTGTAATTTTAAAATTACTGTGTATTCTTGTAGGAATGTAGATTCTTCTAAGGAAATAATATTCGGATATCTACCTGTAGTTTATCAGTTATGTTCTTACTGCAGCCACATTCTTTAGAAATTAAATCACTAGCATAATTTTCTATTCTCACTTTTCGAATTAAATTAGTTAAGAAAAGGCGGAAATACACGAGAAAGTACGGCACATAAATCTCGGATAAGTTTTTGCATTTAGATTTGAAATAGAAATGTCGATAGTTATTAATATATTATAAAAGTATATCTAAAGTGTTATGACTATCATAACTTAATTACATGAAACTCGCTAGCTGAGAAACAAGTTTTAATCTAACTACTTGGATCGTACAGAAATGATTGACACAATGGCTCTCACAACGAAACTATTACACTATGCGAAAGGAAAGCAAGTGAAATAGACACAAGGGGGCGTGAGCTAAACATAATGCATAGATAGACCTGGCCGCAAGCGAATGGTATACGTCAGCGCCCGTGCTTTTCGCCGTTGTCATTGAGAGCGTGGACAGCAATGATGGAAGGTTATTTTTCACGGTCAGTGTTGGACAGCGTGGTTCCTATGGATGAAAGGCATATAGGGTAGTGAGATCCATCGTCGCATGGTGTCGGTGTGTGGGAACAAAGCACCCTCAAGGCGTACGGTTGGTTGGCCAAGTTCAGCAGTGGAGTGGAGACCGCAGTCAAAGGTGTCAGCGCGAGACGACCAGCAACATCGCATACAGCAGCGAATGTGGCAGCTGTGTCGGATTTGATCATGGGGAACAGGCGCACAACGCTCAATGAGATGCAGGAAGAGACGGGGCTTGCGCAAGGAACATAGCAGGAGATTGTGCATGGTGATTTGGAAATGACAAATGTGTGTGCAAAGTGGCTGGACCTCGAACGTCGAACTACGTCTTGCTTCACAACATGAAGGACGCAGTCAGGGGTCAACAGGTTGAATCGCCTGCCAAAATGCATTCAATTGTCCATAGATGGGGCACCAAGACCCCCACAAACTGGTTTACCAAAGCCCTTCGGGACCTCCCAGCAAGATGACAGAAGTGCATCGACATAGGCGACTGATGTACTATCAGTTTTTTGTTAACAAATTGTATTCCGCTCTGTGGCAGCATTTGCGTCATTCATTTCTGTACGACCTAAATATATACGAATCTGTTTTTTAATTTACTATGCTTTGTCTTTGAATTAACAACACGTAATTATTAATTATTAAAATAAAATGTACTAAATAAAAATCTTTTATTAAAACGGATGTCTTAAGAAAAGCAATCTTGTAATACGAAAATAATGTGTTACTATAAACGAAAAAACTCATCCTGCGTTTATATATACTTTAGATTTAAGTATTTCAAAATTTAGAAGAATAATCGGTTCTGTTCGCAAAGAGTGTAAGGTTTTTATCCCCCCTCGCCACATGCCTTCGGGGTATTACTGGTAAGCACGACCATCGGAAGATCCAGAGTTCGAGTCCCGTCGAGGGAGCTGCATATTTTTCAAGCCTGCCTCTTCGAAATAAAATCTTATGCCCAATTAAAAGGTGATGTACGATAATTTGTGACCACCAGGATTTAGCGACTACATTCCCTTCTCCAAAGTCGTCCTTTAAGGTTTTGTCCCTCGTCCCTGCGTGCGTTTTTGGTCTAAATGGAGGACTCGCAACCGTAATGGTAAAATTTCCATGACAGTTAGTGATGGAAAGTCTCGATTTCGACTCCCGGAAAAGGCACTGCACATTTTTCACGTCTCACGTTCCTACATATAATTCTGATGACACTACAGAAGTTAATTAATAATTTGGAAGAGTAGTGACTTCTAGTTCTTGACTTTACCTTACGACTATTTAGAAGTTCCTATTTACCAGTTTTCTATTCCTAGATGTTATTTTCAGTGTAGTGCATGGTAATTGAGGTATGCTAAGTATGTGTGTATTATAACAGTAATCCAAACTACTCTTTTGTTTTACAAATTTGCAAAGATTTTTCAGGATCCATTTGAACCGAGGACTTTCTTGATCTTCGATGTCAAGCTTTCTAAATACATACCCATTAAGCTACTGAATTTATCAAACAGTTCGGATGATCAATCCACAAAATTAATTTCACAAAAACAGAAACATGTAATATTAGCGTTATTTAACTTAATATTCAACCGTCGCAATGGCATGAACTTAATTTCTAAAATTCTTCAGAACATTTTTTATCTTAATGTATTTAAAATGTGAATTAGAAACCATGAAAAATAAGTGAATATCTTATTATTTTACAAGGTATTCGAGAAAGATATGGATTAAGAGAAGTTCGGTAATTAAGAGAAGTTCTTAAATCATGCTACAGAAAGAGGTTTAAGGAATTCTTTTTTTTATTCTAGACTATAAATTGAACAAATGAATAACTTGTACTTATAATTTAATTCTTCTCAGCTTGTGGAATATCATCAACGGAAGATGTGAACCTTAAATTAAATTAAATTGATGCCGAAGACTATAATGCAAATAACTTAACAAGTGCTGGCTCAAATTACTAAGTGCGTGATTGATTTCGGCTAGCAAATTAGCTAATGCCAGATAACTAAGTAGCAAAGCTTAGAGAGAGGATCGTATCACGGTCAGTGTAGCTGTCAAAAAGCTTTCATAGTTAGATGAGGGGAACAATACCTGAATTACCTTATTGGTAAATACCTAGTGTCGCCCCTACTTATATCTGCACCTGTCGAAAAAGTTTCTACTTAACTTTCAAGAACTCTGTCTTAAATGCTCGTATCTCATGTACATCCTGGTGAGAGCTAATGAAAAAGAATAATGGACAGTACAGCTTCCTGGGTTAATTCGTGTAAAACATATATTATAAATACATCTAAACGATTTACGAATATTACGTGGGGGAATAATAATAATTATTGTATTTTAAAATATCGAAACAGCTTCTAAAATAATAGTTATATCTCTCAAAACTTAATTCTTACCCATGTCAATAAGACGATTAGAAAATCCAGTGAAAAGAAGTAACCATATTTGTAACCTTAAATTACCAGACCTTTTTTTCATGCACGTTTTGAAACTGTCTTTCATATTATCTAACCGAAAAAGGTCTCTAAACATTTCTTTCAAAGTAACATCGTTTTTCCTTTCCTTTGTCTCCTTCACACAGAAGATTATCCACAATAAAGCTAAAAGTAAACTGCATGGAGATATGATCATGACAGGTAGGTAGCCACCCTTTTTAAAAACCTGGCCGCCTGTAAGTGATCCTAAAGGTCCAGCCATTATAGCAAAGAATTCTAGAATAGCGAATCGGCTCTGTCTGGATCTAAAAAGAAAATAATACCTTATTTTCATAAGGAGTAAATATTGCCAGTAATGTATCAGAACAGATTAATATCATTTAAGTTTTATTAATATACGAGATCGCAAAAAAGAAATGATAAGACGGTAAAAATCGTTATGTAATGTCGTGGTGTAGTGGTTCTGCACGCTGGGCCGGCATTCCAGAAGTCCGTGGTTCGACTCCCGGCAAAGGAGATTGCTAATGTTTCATCTCCTTTTGTATCCAAAAAATTCCTAATGTCTCTACAATACGTACAAATATGACATCGAAAAAAAATGTTAAAATTAAAAGGAACCAACGGGAAAAAATTAAATGTGAAACAGATTATACTAGGCTAATGTTTTTTATTTACTGTTTTCACTTAAACAATTTTTAAAAGAATAATGATGACCTTAGAACTAATGTATAATTCGGTATTTCGATGCATTAATAAAATATAAATCTAATAAAATTTTGGACTGTTTTGGTGATTTCGGGATATATTATTTATTCATCTTTCCATTTTGATTTGCTTTTCTTACCCTACACAAGATAAAAACAAGTTCTCTGATAGGAATCAAAAAGTGTTCAAGACCTTCTGGTTCGTCAGCAGATTTTGTATGGCCATAGGAGATATCGATTGATTTCAAATCTATTGATCTACAAAGGGAGAAAATGCCACTGAGAACAAATTTTGAATGTTACTCCATTTATCAACGAAGAAATGGCATTCTCATTCTAAAAATCTCATATCTTCTGTGCGAAACTACCTTTCTATAAAAAAGCAAAATAACTATAAAAAAGCAAGGGTTGTTAACGGAATTTTGCTTTTTTAAACTTTATAACATTTCATGTAATGTTATCACACTTTTTCTGAAACACTCTGTATATTGCGTACTGGATTAGAAACTGTATGTGTAGAGAAAACATTACTTTTAAACTGCATCAAAATGACAGAGATTTGGTATTCTTTAATTACATGCTTAAATTAATATGCTACTTCCCTATGACTTTTTTTCATTTATGCCTAAACAATATATCGTAACAAGGCTTTAGTTTTTCTTTTAACTTACACTGCGTTGATATAATAATCAAGAAAATTAGCTAGTGGCGGGCTGGGAGTTCGACTCGGTTTCAATCCTGGACTAACAAACAGACTGGCATGTTTAGTTTCTGTGTTTATCATCATGAGTAACGTGAATATGAGTGTTTCCTTTCCAAAGTTCTCAACGAAGTCGTCCTTTCCCTTAGGCAGATAGCCCTGGTGCGCTTTGCTGTATTCAAATAACCTTACGTAAGGAACCCGTAGTCGGCAGATCTGTGCTGGGCATGAAGTATGAAAAGTATTCCACTAAGTCTTTCTATTTCTCTTACTCAAAAAAGGAAAAAGAAAAATCTTTAAAATTTCAGATCGAAATTTTTTGTTTGGCAAAAATGATAAAAGTTGACAGTGTTAATATGTTACCTCAGCTTAATAATTTGCTCACCTCTTTCGCACCGTTTTTAGTCTTTTAAAATATTTTTGTCTTCTTCTGCTGAGAACTATAAAATAATATCGATAACGAAGGTATGACAATGGTTGTATCAAATTTAAATTTACGTCGATTAAAATCAATACAGTAAAATGGGATCATAACACTCTGAGGTGCTCTTCAAACATGCCAGTTTGGCTTGCGGAGCGTTGAACCAAAGAACTATTAAACTAAGAGTGTATTTATTGCTAATGTTTATGTATAGCGAAATGTATATAAATGTTTTGAAACAGAACAAAAGGGGTATGCTGAATAACTTAAAATCATTTCCTAAAATCAAACCAAGTACACAAAAGCGAGTTCATACATTTAATGGGTATATAACTGAATTCATTTGATTGAGCTTTAAGTTTCTTCGAAGGTAAATCAGAAAGTTCTAAGAAAACGAAACATAGCAAAGTTTGCAACGTCTCAAAAAGCATTAACCACCGCAATGAGATTTCAAAGTTAATTGGGAAATTAAAAAACCTCTACACAATTGGTTTATGAAGCCTTATTCTAATGAAAGCTGTGGAAGAAATATCAGGAAAGCAAATCAAAAAGCAAACAGAAAGAATTCATGGATCAAAACAGGTTTTTAGTATTTAACTCTTAATTAATACATCGGTTAAGTACTCATAAGGGGAAAAAAATAGGTTAAAACTATGTAGTGTTAAAAATAGAGGTTGCTTGTCTTTCAAAGATCTGTTTTTACATACCTCTCATTACTAACGTCAGACATATAGCTGTATGTTGATGACATGATTATGATGAGACTGCCAGTAAAACCAGATATAGTAGAACTTGCCAAAAACCAGTATGGTGAAGCTCTTGGAAAGTAAGTAATGACTGCTTGTAGGGAACTATCAATTACTAGTCCTGCTGTTGCCATGATGAGTGGGTACTTTCTACTATATTTGTCACTCCATGGTCCTTAAAGAATATTAGGAATACTTTAATACAAAAAAGCCATGAAACATTTTATTGTAGAGACACTATTTTAGGATATTTGATTAAAGCTAACAGAATAAGATTTTGCAATACTGTGCAATATCAACATGATCAAATAAGGAATCTTTTGTAAAAGAGTAAGTTTTTTCTTGTAGTAAGTCTTATGAACTATTCAAGAATATTTAAAACAGTAAATGTGTACCTGTTTACCTTAATGAAATTTTATGTTTTAAAATACAGGTTTTAGGTAGCCTGCCTTTGGATGGATATTATACAGAGGATACACATGCAGAAATTTCAATTTTAAAAATATAATTAGTTTAGTATTTTCTTTTAATTTCAATTTATACACGCATTGTACATGTTAATTCGAAGGGTGAACAAACAAAGGGCTATATATAAACGCCCAATAAAATACTTTATTTTTAGAAAATAGAAAGTATTTTGACGTACTTACAACAGATAAATGCTCAGAATTAAGAATGAAAAATAATGCTCTCCATATTCTTCACACTAGCACGGCGCTCTTCGATGAAATGCGTATTCACTTTTTCACATATCTGCCTGTTGAGAATGCATAAGCACACATCAAATTTTCTTTCGTTGCCAGTCTTTCTAGCATTCTACTTCGGTATTCCTTGGGACTTAACTCTCGCGTACACTGTCACGTACAGTGTCACGTACAACAGCGATACAACTATACTGTATAATAGCTATGTTTTCAACAAACCGGCTCGATCGATAGTGTAATAGTTTAATGTCTGCTGCCAAACCTGGGTCCTCAAATCTTTTTACCAATCTGAAAATGATTCTTTCATTAGGTTCACTTTCATGTTCAAAGATTGCACAAAACTTCTTAACAGTCTGTACATAACACTGTCCATTCTTATAATGAGCTTTCACAATAAAAACTCACTGTTCCTTTGCATAACGCTCCATGTCTACTAAGCTGTTACGAAGTTGCAAAATGTCTGTGATAAAATGCTGCCTATTTTATGTATGTTAAAGTATTTTCCATATTCTACAAATAAAGTATTTTAGGAGGAATTTTAAGTCTTTCGCTTTTGTCGGGATACCCCATATAATAATTGCACGAATATTATTCATGTAAAATACATTGAGCTAATCACTATACATTTAACTAATGTACATGTATAACATGTTCAATACATGTATGCTGATTTCAAATAAACATGTGGAAAACTATTAAACATGTGAAATTAATAATGTTTTAATTTTCAGTTTCACATGTTTAACAGTTTCTATCTTCTAAAAATTATATTGTTTAATACATGATGTGTCAAAGATTCAATTTCAATATCGAAGATTAGTAATTTCACTGAAATGCATCTCTTTCAGGAATTACTGATAAATAATGAAAGAAATAAGCATTGGCTAATGGAGTTCCTTTCAAGAGACATTTCTAGTGTTATTTATTATTACAATCATTCTGTATACTAAAATCAGTAATTCAAAAAGAAAAACAAATTCTTATCTTAAATGATGTTTACTAATTTCTTTATCTATCTATATATATAAAGAAGAAAGTCTGCGTGTTTGTTCGCTAATAACTCAGTCTCTACAATAGCTATCGTTACCAAACTTTCTACAATTCTTTTCTAGGTCCCGGAAAAGATCGACATCCACTTTTTTTCAAAAAAAAAAAAAAAAAAAAGCTAAAATCAGAGATATTAATTAAAAACTCTTAAAACGCTCATTTTCGTTCTCCTTTTTCCGAGTATCAACAGGGCTGATATCAGCAACAAATGGCTGCGTGCTATTGTTGCTGATATAATGAGAGAGAGTTAGTTCATTTTTCTATCGAAATTTTTATGTGGTTTCCAATAGCGCTCAAATTAATGATGTATTGTTTTTTTTTTTTTTTTTTTTTTTTTTTGCTGACCCAAATGGCAACTCCATATGTCATATGGGTATATATACCATATGATTCTATGATTACTTAGTCAGTTGTGGTACATGTATTGAATATTACCTTGTTTCTTAGACATTTTTTATGCATTGCAATGACGTATGTAAAATAATATATTACTCTCAATCTAAATTAACTGGCATTGGGTACTTCCGCTAATATTTAAATATTTCAAACATTAAGAAAAGTAAAAATTAAATAGCGAACTTAAATGGTTATATCTCTAAAGGAACAATTTACTGCTGTAGTTGTAGACTTAACGTCCAAATGAAATGAGATTTTACAGATATTACTCAAGAAAATCGAAATTTTCCAATCAAAGATCTAGAATTCAATTTATTAAAAGACTAATTTCAACAAGCATTATAAAAGCCGTTTTGGGTTTCTCTTTGAATGAACAGAGTAATATATTGAAATAATACAACAGATGATCGTATAACCTTTACCCAAAGAAGGAAAATAATATAAAATGCAATTCTGATATAATTGAGAAAATAAGCTGCTCTTCGGTTTACCATAACGCATCTATAATCAAAAGTTAGCATATATAAATTTTCAAGTATCAAATACATTTAGCTGCACTCCTGCTTATAATTAAGGCATTACTCTGAAATGGTCTATTGTAATGTCTTACTCAGAAGACTATACTACAATGGATTATCCTGCTCCTACGATTGTCTTGATGAAGACTATCCTTCTACTAGACATGTTGAAAACGAATCTAGTTAAATATTATGTTAAGATAATAAAAAGCATAAGTCATTCAAAAAAGTATTACACAAAAGCAAATTTTACCTAAAAATGTTGCCATCACTAAAGAAGGTAGAGTAGCTACCATAAGTAAAGCAGTATATAAATTATTGCCGTAAGACAAGGCTTCAAGTTGTTCTCGGTCGTTTTCTTCGTGTTCCAGATCATCGCATATTTCATTGGAGAAATTCAGGGATACTCTGCAAGCTCTGTCATGTAAAAGGCTCTGGAGTGTCACAAGGCGAGCATTGAAAGAGAACATTACTAAGAACATATACGGCTCTACAGTTGTTTTCTTCAAAATGTCCAGTAGTCTGGTTCCTAAACTTTTCGCAGCCACGCTCACAGAAGAACTAAGTGCTTTCATTTCTGAAAAAGAAAATGACTTAGCAGCATAAAATAATTGTTATTAAAACAACTCTAATTAAGTTTTAACATATAAAAAAATTAAAACTTTTTTAATATTCGTAAAAATACATAATCGTTGATTTAGAAATGCCAAAAGAAATTTAAGGGAAATCCTATGAGGCTCCTTCTCTCTTAGTGTATATAGAACATTATAAAAAACATTACGTTAAGTCAGAAATTATTCAAATGTCAGAATGCCCTTCAGGAGCAAACTGGTTATGTGATTATTAGATATAAATTCTGAGATAACTTTACGACAAATTAGCTACCTATTGTCCACCTATAACTATTTTAAATGTTTACTTATCATATTTATTGAGTAAGTAGTGTAATTTGTAAATGTCGGACTTCGGAGCTAAGATCTTTACCGTCTCAAATTGCTCTCGAATGCTTTCGATCGAGAGGCGGTAGACTCAAAAAAATTCAATTTAAATTTTTTTGAAAACACCAATTTCAACTAATAATTCACTTTTAGGTTGACAAGGAGAGTGCTTGGATCTTAAACGGACATGTTTACAACTTTCTAGCGCTCGTTTCTCAGAATTAAACAAGAAAAATCAAAGCTAAATATCCCATTACCATGCAAATTATGTTTCTACTTTTACCTGAATCACTGTCAGAGTTCATGTCGTCGTAAAACTGCTATCTGGACAAAATTAGGGCAAATGGAAAAAGAAAAGATGTTAATGAAGTGATGTACATGAAGGAAAGCATATTACGCATATGAAGTAAGGTTCGTTTTGCATTTATCCATGCCATAAAATTGTCCCAAACGTTTCAATGTACCCTCAAAATACACTTCAAGCTATTAACAGCCGTGATGGCAGAAATTATTATGTCAAAATTTTCTGAATATAATTTATCATATTTTCAATATGACCTTATGGCTAGACATTAACTTGGTTAGCTGGTTTAGGACCGAAATCCTAAAGCAAATATCTTTACATAAAAATAGATTCATCCGAGTAAAATATTGTTAGATGCTTACGGGTTCGTTATGAATTGAATGTACACAAAACCGATGATAGCTTGACAAAATTTATTTTCCTAAAGGAAACACTGTACAGTTCTGGAACTTTCGAAAAGAATCACTCGTACAGCTCTTTTCAGTATCACATAGCACAATCAGTAGTTAACTACAGCGCATGTACAAGACGGAGCTCTAACGGATATCTCAATACTTCGCAGTCAACTCTGAAATAAATAATCGAGGACTGATGCTTTCTTCAGTCTTAACAGTTTTCCCCTGGCCACCGAGAAATCCCCAATATCTTCCATTTCTCGAAATTACTGGAAGGCATATTTGATTAAAGTTACATATAAGAGCCGGATATGGTTTCAGTTACACATAGGGAACAATTAAATTTATTCAAAAACAGTACCAGCAGTATACGGGGCCCGGCCAAAATGTCACCGATTGGTGGCCAAGTTTAGGGACTTTTGATAATTTCTCCTCAAATTACTGAGACAGCCATTTACCTCAATGTTAATTAGACTTGCCTCCGATATCAAATTTGTCATTGTTCATCGCTTAAACTCTGTTAGAGTTTATGGAAAGAGCAGTTTGGAACTAGATCCTTTCCTTTTCGAAGGCTAGTATAAATGTTTAGGATGACAATGTTAACAAGAATATCTTATTTTTTATAAAGTTTGCTGTTATCAGTAGTTTCAAGTATCCGTAATCTTGGCTAACATCATCTACGAATACGTGGCTAATACTATATTAAAAAGACTGGTTGTACTTCCATAAATCAGTTTAATGAATTGACATTTTAAAGAATATTTGCATTCTGAATTTGTTTAAATCAATCTCTTATCTTTCAGTAGCTAATTTGATATCCCCCTTAGTTGTTCAGCTGCAGCTAGTGAAGACTATGTTCAAGTGTATTTTAAGTAAGCGAAACATTTACTTAAAATGAACATAATAGAAATACAGATCTTAACTCTATATTCAAATATACTTTAAGTAAGTGACACATTTACTTAACATAATAGAAGTACAGATCTAAATACTATATTCAAATATGTTTAAAATAAACGACCCATTTACTTAAAATGAAGAAAGTAAAAGTACAGGCTTAAGGACTATGTTCAAGTATAATTTAGGTACACGAAGCATTTACTTAAAATCGGTAGGAATACTTATATACTTATTAAGGACACATATACTTAAATGAACATAATAGAATTACAGGTCTAAAATTCACATTTAGAAAAACGAAAGCTCTAATAGCGCACCTAATTTATTTAAAATGAATAATATAAGGTGTTCTAAATTTGAAAAACACATTATAAAAAAACTCAGACCTTCTACCCCACCCTTTTGTAAGAAGGTGATAAAATTTTAATTTTTTATGTATAGACTATTTTTTTCGTGTAATACAGTATGGCTTGGTCTGCAGTTTCCAGTCTGCAGAAGTTTGATCATTTCCAGAATGGTGTAGCGAGGATTTTAAAACTGCCAGAAGTTTTAACACTTTTAAACTTAAACTTACTGTACTTAAAAAGGATTTTCAAGAAGATAAGAGATTTTTTTAATAAACCCTAAGAACTAGGCGAAATTATAATACTGTTGTTATCGCTTAATTAATTTTAGCTAAGTAAGCGAGGATAATCTGCCTAAGGGAAATATGTCTTTGAAATCTCTCTAAAGGAAACTGACTCCTAGCAGTTAACCTCTTTGTTGGCAACATAATCTGGACCAAACTACGAGCGTTAATGATCTTATCCACTCAGCCAACGTTAGACCACTTTTAAATACTATGATTATTGCTTTTAAAAAAGTAAATTTTGTACGTACAAGTTTGAAATGTGATATGGTTAGCATTTTTTAAGTATATCAAGAACTTAAGGTTAGTAATGAAAGTATTCCATCTAGACAAATGAAAAATATTATCTTACAATATTCTACCTAAAATAGAGTTCCTTGTAAGCTAGAATACTGAAGAACTATGTAGCAACCATTCACTGAGTTCTTGATACGTAAGTAACAAGTCCAAAGAAGGGAAAATTGCCCTTTATTCCAATTCAAAATAAATTAACAGATGACCTCTATCGGGCATACAAGAAGCCCTCAATTCGGCTTCAACTCAGAATAGAAAATATAGAACTAACTAATGCTAAATGAAATTAATCAGGCGAAGCTGCGCAGAATCAGCTCGCGTAATTGGCCCTTTTATAAAGACCACCGGCGTATTCTACCACACACAAAGCAGAATACGGCCGTAGAATAGCAAGCTTAATAGCAATAACGTGGGAGGAACCTTCAACTTAAATACTAGTTTATATTTTATTTGCATAAATAGTAATCCTGAAAACTCATTCTGGCAGGGAAACGTAGGTGGGAAATTGTTATGTATAGTAAAGGCTTGCTCCAAAATAAAAATTACTATTAGGAAAATAGAGTAAAGCCCTACAATTGAATAAAATGTTCAATTAAAAAAATATGTTAAGTAAACAAGTTTTAGAAGCTTAAAAAAGAAACTTTGCTTTAGTAGAATCGAATTTTAACATTTTTTAAATAATTCGTTCAAGAATTTCATTTACTTTTACCAAACTTTCCGTAAATTTTATGTTGGGAAGATTTCATTTTATTTTATTTTTCATCAGGATCTCACCCCCCTTTAATGCTTTTTTTCCTATTATTTCCTTATCAGTCAGTTTGTAAATGCTTATCTTTGAGATAGTCACAAGTTATAATTTCAGTGAAACCAAAGAACCTACATATTTATAAATATGAATTACGTTTATCTCTTTTTATAGAGAAATTTCGCGAGAACTACAGATAAAAAAAACAATTACTGTCTTCGCCAAAAACAACTGTGAGATCCGGCTCAATTATCTTGATTAATGGCTGAGACCAATTTGGGTAGCTTCCCGACCAATTCGAGTATACAGAGTAGTACTAATCTGAGATTTTACATTGGAAGCAATTTAAAGTATGAGCACTACTAGTTATATATGTGATATATTAAACTGGTAGTACACATATAATAGTGTTATTATGTGAACACTACCAGTTACCTTTATCATCAAATCTACTACGGAAACTCCATCGTAAATTAGGTGACAAGAGTTGATAAATGAAGTTCCCAGTCTCACAGAGAGCCAATGGGATTGACCGTTGAGTTTGGAAGCTATTAAATATGGACAAGAGGGCAAGGGAGATATGATTCCATTCAGCAAGAAATTCATTAGGATCTGATAAGTTCTAACAAAGTTAAAGTAAGAGCATAAAATATGAAACATAGAAAATTAAAGATTACATACTTACTTTGTTTTTCCAAGATTGACAGAACCTTTAGATAAAGAGAAGAGGGCTAACACATAATGGAATCTTTGTTCAACTTCGTTCAACTTGTTCTCAAAAGTAAATTAAAATCCACTTGAAAGGATTTACAGCAATTCTTAAAGCTTATAGCATGCAATTATTTTCTGAAAAATAAGCAGATTAAAACGGAATCGAAACTTGAAGAAATAATCTTGCAGCTGCTCATAGATCATTAATTCCAAGTCATGAATTTTTACTCTCTTGATATAGAATTAAAATGATTATGTATTTCCAATTTTTAATATGAAAATTTTCGTGGGTATAATTTGAAAATTATTATCATAATGATAAATTAAAATTTCTGACAATTAAATTAAAATTTTTACAAAAAATTTCTGTTTCAACTTCCAGAAAAGGTATTCACTTAGTATTGTCAGAGAATGAAAACAGTCATTTGCTTATTCCCAGAAATGTTTTGGATTCCTTAAATTTTAAGATGCAGATGTTAAAGAATGATGCGATTAAACTAAGTCCTATAATCAATGTTTGACATGTAACACGATATTGTTCAATAACTTCATACAATATGATACTGTTGTATGAAGTAATTGAGAGAAAATATATAACAGATAAGCAAGGTTAATTCCTTTGCAATTAATTTTTATCTTGAGTTTTAATTTATACATATCAGGAGCAATTATTTCTGTTCAAATAAGTAGTAAGAAAATCGTTTACAGAAAGACAGATTCGATGCAAATATGTATGAAGCACATATGAAAAGAAAATTTAGGCCATCTAATAATATTTACTTTGTCATATATATGCATAAGCACGTAAAAACCCCTACACATGTGGACACCTATCAGAATAATATAATATGAACATTTAAATATAAATTAAATTAATTTGCACGAATACATTTGTTAGATGTATGATATTCTTGATTTGTATGGGAAAAAGATTGTTGCAAAGTGTACTTTCGATTATTTGGGTACGGATTATCTAGTTTAAGGATTGCTACAAGATTAAGAATATGAATAAAAGTATTCAAAATGATTTATTAGATTTATGTTTAACTGTATTTTTATAATTATTTTTTAAAATTTTACAAACATAAATAAGCTTTAAGAAACAAAATCACAGACTCCCATTTTATTAATATTTTTTGCAACCAATGGGATCTTAAGTACATCAATCAATTGTCCATGCATGCTCAGCTGTCGAACCCTTGATCCCCATTGACCCCCTTCAAAATTCCATCTACCTCCAGGAAGTCAGTATTGAACCCGTTGAGAGCTCATGTTGTAAACAGTGAATGTAATCAAGAATGAAATCTGCTTACTCAAATTCTACTTTAAAACTGAGTTATTAATTGGAGAATTATTCATGTTGAAACATAATGATCAAGTTACTATGCTACAGATATTTTGAAATAAGTCTAGTGAGGAAAAAAATTGAAAGGATTTATTACACTCCCTCACATGCATTCTAGTATAGTAAGTTGTTACTGTATCCATTCGTCCATTTTGCAGTCGATGGTTCGAATCCCAGCAAAAGCATGTTTGATTTTTCATGTTTTTCGGCTAATATATATATATGAAAATCATAATAATCTTAGCAATGACTCGAGTTTGAATCCAGAGCCCACAGAATTCAAGCACATCAACAACTGTATACTCTGGATTACCTAGGTTAGTGTCGAGAAAGCACGTCACGGATAATTGAAAAACACGGATAATCGAAATATCGGTTTTCGCGCATATTGTATGCGTTTATTTCTCAAAAAAAATCAGCAATTTTATTTTGTTTTTAAGAACTTTTATATATTTGTTGCATTTGAAGGCTTTTTTTCGAAGTGCTATTTTATCATTGTATTCGATTCCCTTTTGAGGAGCGAAGTCCAACAAAGTTTCAATAGAAATCATTGCTGTCTCGGGATTAATGTAATTGCCAGTATTTCCTTCAGTTGTATTTTAGTATCACTCAGTACCTCCTTTGTTCTTGTGATATTTAAAACAATATCCATATCACTCAAGTACTGGAAGACAAGTTGCCGTCGAACCATTTCTCGGTGTTTTCCCGATCAACATTTCCAAAGAACTTTATGTTTTAAATTTTGTGGAATACAACTTCCGTTATTAATTCGATTTCTTTACAATTAGATAAGCCTCGGAATTCGATATTAGAAGAATCTTCCTGCATGACCGAACTAGTGTTATTGAAACCAGGAACAGCGTTATTGGTTTTACTTTCCACCAAGCTTTTGCTACTCCATCATATACCATCCAATACAGTCAACGTCTCATCATCATTGTGAAAACATGACACTCTGTCAACGTAATCCAGATCACTGTTCAATTTTCAGAAGTGAACTGATAGCAATCAATTTAGGACTGTAGGCTATAATAACGGAGAAGAATTTTGAAGATCTTGTCTGATAGCCGAAGCTCATTCCAGCACCTTAGTATTTGGATTTACGTGGGCGACAAGACTAGTATACTCTATCCTACAAAAACTACACCTAATTTCTCAGCTATCATGATTTATTTCCAGTAGATCAAATCTCATGTGGATCTTTATGGCAAAGGAATAGCGGACAAACTAGCAAAGAAGAGCTATGACCTTTTAACTTCTCCTTTTCTACCCTTACCTATCTGGAATTATATTCTTGGAAAACATCACAAATCATAGTGGAGTGGTTGATGCCCCCACCCATCTCTGGTACCTGGGTAGCAAGCCTGGTTGGTCTCTAACCTTTGAGTTAGACAGGATCTCCCGAACTGGTGTCCGCCGATAACATCGCGGCAAAAACATCGCAGACGAAAACGTCGCGGAGAAAACAACGCAAGGAGAAAACGTCGTGCTACAAAACATCGTGGGAGAAAACATCGCAGTTCTAAAACATCGTGCTACAAAACATCGTGGGAGAAAATACCGCAAAGAGAAAACATCGCAGTTCTAAAACATCGTGGTACAAAACATCGTCGTCGAAAATAAAGCGGTTCAAAAACTTCGCAGTTTAAAAACATCGTCGTCGAAAATATCGTGGTAAAAAATGAAGTATCTACAAATCATCGCATGACGATAACATCGCAGACATTTTTTTTCAGGTTTTAATAATTGGAAATGGATATTCCCATAATGATTTGTGAGCGCAAGATGTAAAGAAGGATAATTTTTACTTTCACAATTTTTTAAATAACTAATAAATTTTTGCTGAAAAAGTAAGAAGGAAACTTAAGCATAGATAATTAAATGCAACTTATAGCTTATACTTTTCATGAAAAATTACCAGTAAAAGCATTACAAAAATTATTTATTAATGGCCTTTGTTAGTTAACTATGTCGGTTTAAAATTCCATTAAGTGCTATAAGTTGCATTAATTTTCTATGCTTAAGTTTCCTTCTTATTTTCTCAGCAAAAATTTATTAGTTAATAAAAAATATGCACAAGATGGAAAGAAGTAAAAATTATCCTTCTTTCCATCTTGTGCTCACAAACAGTATGGGAATATAAATTTACAGTTATTAAAAAATGTCTGCGAAAAGCATGTCTGAAAAAAGCATATCTGCGATGTTATCGTCATGCGACGATTTGTAGATACTTTATTTTTTACCACGACATTTTCGACGACGATGTTTTTAAACTGCGAAGTTTTTGAACCGCTTTATTTTCGACGACGATGTTTTGTACCACGATGTTTTAGGACTGCGATGTTTTCTCTTTGCGATGTTTTCTCTCACGATGTTTTTATAGCACGACGTTTTTGCCTTGCGTTGTTTTCTCCGCGACGTTTTCGTTGTTTTTGCCGCGATGTTTTCGGCTGTAACCTCCCGAACTACGCTCTCACATATTGCCAGAGGTCATATTATGAGCCTCTCTTTCAAAGAGGGCATGAAAATCTTTGCAACATGCTCCAAATGCCCAGAAGAACAGGCGTCTGCCGAGCACATATTAAGCTGCTTGAGCGTCTCTAAGGGAGGATATTTACTCAAATCCCCTCCTTGTGCTCTACTTTCTTAGAGTCAAAGATCTTCTGGATCTTGTCTGACGTCGCTAGAAACCGGAGGGAAAGCAACAACAACAACTATGATCAACGTTTTCCAGAGCTTCATTAAATCTTCATTTTCCTCAGTAAGAATTACGAGCGGGCCAGAAAGGAAAACTCGTTTCATTGACGATATTACATTTTTGTCCATCGGCTTGCTGAACTGGTAACATTTAAACCTGGTAGTATATCTGGCGGTAAAATTTTAACCATCACTAACTCGTCTATTGTTTTTTTAGGTTCTCTTGTGCTTCGCGTTGTATGTGCGAGTGTTGGTAGGACCACGCACAGTTATTCTCACCCGGATAATCGAGAGAGCACTGTGGATTCTTTCTCCTTGACTCTTTTTCTTTTCAAATTATCCTATTCTCCCTTAATTCAGCAACTTATCTTCATTCCACGTTTTCTGCAAGATGTTACTATATCAACAGTAACGTCATTCGGTATATTTTATTAGTATTATATTAAGATTATTTATGGTAAATGGTATTAAAACTTTGAATACGTTTATTTATAATATTCAGATACCATTTCCTTAAAATTAAACAATGTTTTTCGAATACTAAAATATTTAGCGTTCTGCTTTTTACTTTTAAGTAAGACATGCGTTCTTTTAGCCGATAGTTTTTTACGTAATACTCTGAAGTAAAACCAGCCTTGCAGAAATGCAATCTTCACTCGAAAAGCAAAATGTATCAGGCCTCTGTAATAAAATTATCTGTGATTCCATAAAATCCTTCTTTTCCTAATAATAATACGCAAATTATACAATGCGATCTAAATCCAAAAAATTTTATCAATTATTCAATCAACAGTTTCTAACATTATATTGCAGAGAGTAAACGAGCAATAAAAAGACAAAGAGAAATAATGCGTGTGGGCGTGGATGCGCTTCAGAATCACAATACCCTAACGTCGGAGGTAAATAAAATTAGCCTGATTTCTCCTTTTATCGCCTTTCCATTGTCTTTCAATTCAAAATGCACTATTCTGAAATTACGCCCAGTAAAACTGAAATTGTTTTCGGTTAAAAATTGGAAACCCTTTCCCTGTTGAACACCCTTTTTTCCCAGAACGGTCTCCAAATTAGAATACGAGGAGCAAATATTGGAAT